TCGAGATTGGCTCCCAGCCGCAAAATTGAAGTCTCGTCAGAGAGAAGAAACTCGCGAAGGGAGCAGCGATCTGCGATGGTTGCTTAATTGTGGCGAGGTCAGAGAAGAAGCGCGGCGCCGGAATCCTATGCTGGTCGCCGAATAAGAGAAGCGCCAAGTCGGACCTCCCTCCTAGCATCTTGAAGAACTCGTTGTCTGAGATAGAACTGGGGTCGGCGGCTGAGTTGGGCTCGTCTACCGGCCGTCAGAAGGGTTGGTCACCGTCGGGAAAGGAAACTGAGAGGAAGGTGGAAGGCGGCGGCACCGCTCTGTTTCCGTTCGAGCCGATGCATCTCCTTTTCTTCGACGAAACCCTACTCACCTTCTGTGAGCCAACGAGTGGGCTCAGGTGTGTTTTGTTGGGCCGACCGATGGTTCAGGTCGTCGGGCCAAGCGAATCGAGCCGAGTGTGCTCATCAGCAAAATCTCGGATGTGTGCCGAGATCTGCTAGTCAAATGGTTGAGGATGATTACGGGCCGGGAAGTAAAACGGAGTCTGCTATACTCTCCTTGGGCCGAGTTCTGATGGGCCAACTGGGTGGGCTAGAGGCAGCTCCGGGAGCAAGACAACTCGTCCCATGCCTCTTGAGAAAAGAAGGTGGGCCGACTCATATAGGGAGATTTGGGCCACCTATGGACTATTTTGTTTGGCTTCTTTTGCAGGAACAAAACTTGAAGGATGAAGGTTGTGGGCTTCTAAGGAAGTTTAGCCCAAACGCAATTAGAGAAGAATGGAGCAGAAAAGGGCTTGACATTGATTTGGGCCCCAATTCTTTATTTTAAGCATTTGTAGGCCAAATTAAAGATGAAGAAAGAGAAGCTTGGATGGTTTTCACCACCAAGCCTATGAAGGAATTTATGGAGCACAAGGAAAGACAGTTCTCCGACTCTTATTCCGTAGGCTTCGAAAGAGAGAAGGAAGAATTGTTTAGCTACGGATGGACGTGACATGTGTCATGAGGGTGGAGAAGAGTTTATTCAAGGACTCGAGCGCAATTGGGAACGAAGAAAGCGGAAAGTCAAGAAGGCGAAAGTCAACTACGACCTTGAGGGCAAGCTTGTTTTCAAGAGGAGGAGATTGTTAGAAACCCAATTTTGGTGGGTTTCTCTATTTATTTATGGTAGGATAATTATCATTATGGTTAGTAGAGATTTAGTAGAATTATGTTATTGGTTAGGGTTTACCGGTATTTTCCTATAAATATGTAATCTCCGTTTCATTATGAACCAATCAAGAAAAATATTAAGAAAAGTATCTCTCTCAAATCTCTCTCAAAACCCTCTCAACTCTCGTCAATCTCTCTCCCAAGTCAGCCCGCGATCTTCTCACTCCCGAAGGCCAAAATGAATGTGTTGCAAGATCCCGCACTCGCCATAGAAGATCCCGCCCGCGATCTCTACCTTGCCTGGCCGCGAACTTCTTCGTCCTTTGATGCCTGTAAATAGAAGACTCATTTCTCCCATTCCAATGAGTTGATTTTAAGAGAAGAATTTTTGGTTTTAGAGAGTGATAAGAGAGAGAAGCTGAAGCAAGGAGAAGGATCTAGAAGAGAGGAGGCATCTTCCTCAACCTCAAGTCTTCTCTAATTTCTTCTATGTATCTTCTTCCCTCTATTAAGTAGTCCTCTAAGGTACTAGAGGTTTTTGGAAATATCTTCCAGAGAAAAAAGGAGATCTTAGCTCGCCTTACTAAGCTGGAAATGATAAACCAATAGCAACCTTCAAACCAAACGTTGCAGGAGGAAGATGCAGTTCACCAGTGGATGGAAACTACTTTGTGGGAAGAAGAGGTGCTCTGGATCCAAAGTAAACAGCCAAGTGGAATGTGGATGGGGATCGCAAAACTCGATTTTTCCATCTATATACTCTTACTAGGCATCAGCATAATGGATTTCTGGTCCTGATTGGCTACAAGTTCTTGTGCATGAGTCTTATGTGAACTTATATAAAAAAGAGCCCCATAGTCACGACCGTATCCAAGGAAACTTTTTGGAACTGGATACACAAGAATTAGAGGCACTAATCAAAGAGTTGACATAAGGGGAGTTGGTGTGTGCGGTGAAAGATATGGTGGGGCTGAAAGCTCCAGGAAAAAATGGATATCAGGCAGTGTTCTTCCAAAAATGTTGGCACAAGATAGGGAAGGATCTATTCACTTTTGCACTCTTCTGCTTAATAGTCCTAATAACATTAGACAAATCAACGCGACTCTTATTACCCTGACAATTAAAGTTGCCCATCTTGATTATAGAGCTATTTCTAAATGTTTGGCTAATAGACTTAAGGGGTTCATGCACAAGCTGGTCCACCCATCCCAGACCAGTTTTGTCGCAGGCCGCCACATAACTAGCAACATTATTTTTTTGCAGGAAGCGGTGCACGCAATGGAACCAAAAAAAAAAGGTGTCAAGGGACATATGATTCTCAAAGTGGACTTGGCCAAGGTGTATGATCGTGTCTGCTAACACTTCATTGTGGACACCCTAACTGAACTTGGGCTACCTCAGTATTTTATCAGAGTAGTGATGGGTTGTGTGACTACAACCTCCATGCAAATACTGCAGAATGGTTCCTACACGAGCAAGTTCGTGCCTATCCAAGGCCTAAGACATGGATGTCCCCTCTCACCCTATCTTTTTACTCTTTGTATGGAGATACTTAGTCATATTATTATGGGTAAAGTGAGGGAGGGTAAATGGAAGCCATTCAAAATTTCGAAAGAAGGACCTCAACTCTCTCACCTTTTCTTTGCAGACGATCTTATCATGTTTGGGGAGGTGACGAAAGCGCAAGGAAAGACAGTGATGGACTCCCTCTCGACATTCTGCAAGGCCTCTGGAGAGTTAGTTAGTCGGGAGAAGTCCAGACTCTACATCTCCCCCAACACTGGCAGAGTTGTAACGCAAGAGATTATAGGAGATGGGTATTCAAAAGATTGAGAAGATTGTAGGGGTGATTGAAAAGATTAAGAAGAAGCTTTCAGGATGGAAGATGAAGCACTTGTCACTAGCAAGGAGGATCACTCGAGCCCTTTCGGTGTTGAATGCAATACCGTCATATGTGATGATGCTAAGATTCCTGCTTCTCTCTGTGAGACCATTGACAAGTTAATACGCAACTTTGTATGGGGAGCTTGGGATGGAAAGCAGAAGGCTCATCTTATCTCGTGGGAGCATATATGCAAGCCAAAGAACTTGGGTGGCATGGTCCTCTGCTCGACTAGGGAGCTTAATAAAGCTGATTTAATGGAGCTAGTCTCAAACTTTCCTCGATTCGCCCGAGGAGCGATGGGTCCAAGTGATGCCACATAAATACTTCAAAACTAAGGATGGTGGCATGCAACAGCTGAAAGGGAAAAGGAAGTCGCCTCTTTGGCGAGCTATGCAGGAGGTGTGGCCTCTTATGATACAAGGGACAGCTTGGAGCGTAGGAGTGGAAAGGACACGAGTTTTTGGGGTGATGTTTGGCTGGGTGGAGGCATTGCCCTGAAGGATCTCTTGTCTGATAGCTCGAATCAACCTGATGAAAGCTTGATTGTGGCGGACATGGTTGATAGCGAGGGAAGGTGAGATTGGAGCAAGATTGAGCACTTAACATCTCATGAGATGCGTATGCAGCTTGCAGGTACAACACCGCCCTGTAGTGAGGATAGAGAGGACCGAACGATCTGCGCGTTGGAGGCGGATGATCGGTTTGACTTAAGACAGCTTATGCGCTGGTTGTAGGTTTTGTTGATGATGATGAGCAGAGTTGGTGGAAGTCGATATGGAAATGGAAAGGTCCTAGTCGGATGAGACACTTTCTCTGGCTCGCGTACCAAAGCATATTGATGACTAACGAGGAACGAAAGAGGCGGAAGCTCAAGAAGAATAGTGGATGCGCGAGATGCGTAAACGAAGAGACTATGATCCATGTGTTGAGAGACTGCACAATGGCGATGAACTCATGGAAGGATCTGATTCCAAGGGCGATGCACCAACGATTTTTCAGTTTGCCATTACAAAGATGGTTGGAGGAATATTTAAGAGATGTCAACTACTATCTCCTATTCGGATTGGGTTGTTGGATTATTTGGAAATGCCGTAATGAACTTATTTTTGCATCTAAACAGACTTCGGTGACAGCCTTGGTGACGCGTGTTCATAGTTGGACAGAGAAGGTGGCAAAGTCATTTCAAAGTGAGGAGCAGATTGGGGCTCGTCTGGTGACTACTCAAGTGGAAGCATTGTTGAGCTAGCAGCCGGCGAAGGAGGGATGGGTTACAGTTAATACCGACGGATCAGTGCTCAATCCCGGCTCGGCGGGGGCGACAAGGGGTCTTCCCCGGGACCAAAGGGGAAGGAATCTGGGAAGTTTCAAGTCAAATTATGGCCAGTGTACGATTATGGTGGCCGAACTCAGAGGGGTGTTGGAGGGATTATCTCTAGCAAAGCATATACAAGCGAGTAGAGTGGAGCGTCAAATGGACTCACAGGCGGCGACCCAGCTACTATAGAGTCAGGTCAATGAGGGACATAGGTATGGGCCAATTATCCGTCAAGCCCGGAGCTTGACGGACAGCTTATGCGAAGTCAAAATAGTTCACGTTTATAGGGAGCAAAATCATGTAGCAGATTTTCTAGCAAATAAGGGTTATTTGATCCTGATAGGAAGCTCCATTTGTGATCAGGTGGAGCATTTGTTGTCATTTTGGTTAAACCATGACATTCTCGGAATTCAGGAAGCCCGAATGATTAATAATACGAGTTAGGCGCCCCTTACTCCTTAGCGCCTGTTTTCACCCAAAAAAACAAAAAATTCAAAATCCTTATAACAAAACTAAACTTGCATGATAACTTATAAACCAAGCCCTACTAATATCCTCATAACTATCCCTATTTAACAAGTATACAATATTTATAATAAAAATGATATTGGCGGGTTTCTATAAAAAAGAATTAATAATAATATAACGAAAAACATCCACCAGGGTGCACAAGGGATTTGAATATAACAAGAGTTGACAAGAGTTGTGCACAGGCAGAGATAAAATTAATTAGCCTGGCAAAACAACAACCCTGCCTGGATTTTCTCATTTATGGTGAAAGATTTCGGAACTGCACAAACATGCAACTATGTTGTTACACATCATAACGTATCAAAACATCCACCTAGGAGAAGAGTGAACAGTAACAGCAGGACCTTGTGGCTTTCTCTGCCTAACTGGCGGCTCTGCACTGGTTCTATTCTTCATAACCGAGGACACCGTAGGGCTAAAGTAGTCATTACTCCTCTGGGAAGTCGCCCCTTGAGACGACATCTTCCTTCCATGAATAAAGCTCCTCTGCTGCTCTAGCATTGTCCTACGAGGCATTGGTTTCCTTTGCACAGTTGTTGTCCATCTATTGTAGCTCACACAACTCTGACTCCTCCCGACTTGCTGAAACTTACCTTCTCGAGGACTCGTGTAATTCCGGCTCTCTGCAGTCTCTGCTGAGTACATTGTAGTTTCTCCCTCACTACTATATCCTGTATTACTATTGTTATTATTATGCAATTCCGGGCCCTCCACAGGAGAGGAACTCGACTGAACTTCACTCTTTCCCCCATTCACCGAACCTGTAGATGAGATCTCAGCTTCAGGACTAGAATGTCCGTTTGGAGAAGATTGACCAACATAGCTCTTCTCATCACAGTTACTAGGCAGCAACTTTCTGTCAGCTTTGGCAATCTTGGGAGGGAAATTAATATCAAGAAGCTGTTTGTGCCCAGTTTCTTTCTTTCGAACAGGAAAGGCAGTCAGCCTTGCTGATTCATATATTTCAGGTGTAGGGATTCCCTGCACATGTGCAGCAGTAGCATTGGGATCAGAAGAAGTGTTGGTGTTTTCTTCATTGCCATTGCCAGTGCTTGCTGCAGCCACGTTTTTGGATGATGATGATGATGCTACTGCTGGAGTTTTATCCTGTTCAGCTTCTGGAGACTTGAAGACTTGGCGAAGTGAGAACGATGTACATGAATGCTCACTCTTCTGGCCAGCAGACATCAATCTGATAATGGGCAGCTTCGGTTTGGTTAGCTCGTCCAAGCTTCCTTCCCAATGTTGGTTCAACCAATCGCATATGATGGGAATGGGGATACCAAATTGCTTAGGAGAATCTCTCTTGTTGCATGATGATGATGACGAAGATGAAGTTGAAGAAGATTTGTTAGTGTTTGGAGATGTGGCCAATTTCATGGGGTCGCATATCATGAACGAAAGGTTGCCCTGTGCATCAAACCCAGCAGAACCAGGGCGCCACGTTATGCCATCAGTGGAGAGTTTTACCAAGTTATCAGTAGCAATGACGACTTTTCCCTCGCCAACAGATAACTCTTCTTTCTCCAAGTAACCCAGGAAGTAAACGACGCTGCCTAGATCTAGGTTTGGTTTAGGACAGGTCTTCAAGAAATGAGGCTGGTGCTGCTGCAGCTGCCCTTGGCCGTTGGAGTCTCCATCCGCAGCAGCATCTAAACCAACTATGGTAAGGTCCAACACAGAACTTGTGATGAAAAACCTGCAAAAAGGGAGGAAGACGAGAGAGGTAGATGGATGTATCAGTTAGACAGCAAGGAAGTAATACTAGTTTGACGCCTCTTTCCCTTTGCCAAAACCTAAAGCAACATGCATAATAACGACAGCAATAATGACAAAGGATAATCAAGTACGACTTGTGCTACTACAATGCATATTAACAAACACTATAATCCACCAAAAAAGGAAAGAGTAAGTAAAAAGCACCCGATGATGATAGTGACGGAACAGAACAGCAATGGGGAAAGCTCATTGTCATTCAAAACAAACAAACAAACAAAAAACAAGCTGGGTTGAAAGCAGCTAGACAACTGCACATGAAAAATCAAGCTGTCTACAGCAACGTAGTAGGCAGGATTGAAGTGATTTAGCAATTTGGAAAGCACGGCAGCAGTTGCCGGAACATGAAGAAAGTTGCATAAAAACAGTTCGACTTGCCCCAATTCAGTCATTAAATTAGGGCACCATGGACAAAGGTCAGTAGCAATCAGAAATTTCGATGGTTAAGCAGGCATGACTATAATTTCAAACTGGGTTATTGCAGATAAGCAATGCGATGAAAGGCATCCTCTTTTGTTAAATCCGCTTAGCTCATACACAAACATAAGTAGCCAGATCCAGAAGAGAAGCAATTAACATCAAAGTAGTTCACTTAAAGCTAATGCCTAGCAGTTTCCCGAGAAATAAACGCAGAATCCCAAACTAGAGAGGAAAACCTGTGGGGGGCTAGGGTTGCGGCGACGCCGTTGTGGATGCGGATCTCCAAGCTCTCGGCGGCAGTGACAGAGGGAATATTAACATGAGTAGTCAATAGGAGATTCCTGTGGATTAAGAACCCAGTCCCGGGAACTTGAGTCCCAGCTCCACCGGAGATCCTGGCCATGGCCGAACCCTTGCCGGAGAAAATGGCGGCCTGCATTCTCTCCGACTTCCCCACTCCTTTACAGAAGCACCATTTCTCGGTCAGAACTCCCATTTCCCCCTACAAATCTGTCGGTTCTTTAGTGGACAACACTAGAATGGTCAAGCGCTGAGAAACTTTCAAAGTGTACCGGTCGTAGCCGGATCTAGGAAGAACGGCAGCGGCATTTCAGTCTGCAGTGAAGAAAATGGGTAATAGGTAGAGTGGCATTTAATATTCAGCCTTCTTTTTCCGGGAAACAACAAACAAATTTGTTTTTCACTTTTCAGATGGCTGAGGCAGGGGATATCTTAAGTGGGAATGAATGAGTGAAGAAGCTGTTTGGAAGCCGAAAAAAATGGGTGGGGAAAAGGGAAGGGACGAGATGGGCGTGAAACAGAGTAAAAAGAGCAATTCTTTTTCTGTAGGCCTTGAACTGGACTCTTCAGAGAAAAGAAAAACAAATGGTGCAGGACGAAAAGAAAAATACAGGAGGTGAAAGAAGAAGAAGAAGAAGTGGTGACGTAGGCTTTTGGCGTTTTGGGAATGTTTGGGTCACCGGCGGGTGATATAGAAGTTTCCTCCTTGTCTTTTTTATTCCCTTTATGTTTTCTAATTTCCATGCAAGTTTGATCACTTGAATTTCTAGTAAAGTTCACATTAGCCACTAAAATTACTTTATTTCATCCGCAGTCATTTATAATTTTAGATTAGGCTAATAGTTCAAGTTTGGTCACTGGCCGTTAGTCTCTGTTAACTTTTGCTGATGTGGCGGTCAACTCTTATAGTTGACCATTAAATGAGTGACGTGACAATTAAAAAATTAATTTTTAATAATTTCCACCTCATTGTTACAATAAATTAAAAAATAATTAAAACAAAAAAGTCAACAAACAACAATAATAATAATAATAATAATAATAATTTCCACCTCATTGTTCATCCTCCATCTTCTTCAAAGTAGCCATCGTAATTTAGTAGAGAATCATCGGGTAATGGATGCGTACCAGAGGCCCGAGGTGGAAGAAGAGGAGGAATATTGCCTGACTCCCAAGAGTAGCGAATTCCGAATTCTGGCGGTTCAACCGTGTCCTCCGCCGCCCAAGAAGAAGAGGGAGCAACACTTTGCTGGTGCCTGGTGGGAAGAAGCGGGAACCTCCAAAGAACGGCTACTTCCACCACCTGGATATTGATGCTCTGTTCCGATTGAAGCCACAACGAGGAGGAGCCTATTCCTAAAGTTTAGCCCGGAAGAAGAAGAAGAAGAAGAAGAAGAAGAAGAAGAAGAAGAAGAAGAAGAAGAAGAAGAAGAAGAAGAATTAGGGTTAGACAATTTTTCAAAGTAGGAAGCCTAGTGTTATGATTTGATTGCTAGTAGGTCGACTCCTAGTGTGTAAATGGGTAGCTGTTGAGCAGGGAGCGGTCTCTGTTCGCCGCCTGGAATTAGGACTCTGTTTCTCTTTTTGATATCTTGTTTGCAAAGCAGGTCAGCTAAGACAATTCTAATTCATTCCGTTTATTTCACGATTACTTCTTTCGTCAAAAAGTTGGCCATTCTCTAGTAGCAAGATGGTTGCTTATGTTTTCATGATAACAAAAATAATTAAAACAAAAATGTTAATTTCCACCTTATTGTTTGTGAACTTTTTTGTTTTAATTATTTTTATAATTTATTGTAATAATGAGGTGGAAATTATTAAAAATTAAATTTTATTATTTTTTAATTGCCACGTCACTCATTTAACGGTCAACTATAAGAATTGACCGCCACATCAGCAAAAGTTAACGGAGACTAACAGCCAGTGACCAAACTTGAATTGTTAATCTAATCTATGTGACTACTGGTGGAATAAAGTAATTCTAGTGGCTAACGTGAACTTTACTAGTAACTCAAGTGACCAAACTTGCAATTTACAATCCTAGTTAGTTAGCATATACTCAAAAGTCGGATGGCTGGCCACATCGCTGTGCCGCGATCAGATGGTGGAGGAGGATTGGCGCCGACATATGATAGGATGAGAGCAGTGCGTGACTCAGCTGAACCAAGCCCCCCCCCCCCCCCTCCTCCCCCCTCAATTGTACAAAAAGTGGATCCCATAATTCAAGAATCCCCTATTTTTTACTTTTTGTTCAGCCTCCTTTCTCTCTTTATCATTTTGTCAGTTTCCTTTCTCTTTCCCTCACTCTGCAAAACTTTTTTCAAATCCTCTTTCATTCCTTTCCCGAAAACCATCAGAAACCTTCTTCATTGAGGATTGCAAGGAAGAAGACGACAGTGACGATGGTTGTGAACAGGACACCGAGGAAGGTAGCGATGCTTGAAGGAAGAAGACGTTGATAACATACACACAAAAACCTCTCTATCGAGGGTTGCGAAAAGATGACGGTGGCGACGAGGGCTGCAAGGAAGAAGACGACGCCCCGAGGAAGAAGATGACGGCACGAGGGCAAGATGTCGGTGCTTGGCGAGCCGGTAGTGGTGCTTGAAGGAAGTAAACGTCGGCCGAGCAAGAAGGAAGACGTTGACGTCTGTATCGCGGGAAGACGACGAGGCTTGCTGCGAGGAGAAGAAGGTTGTTGAGGTAGGCGTCTTCCTTTCTTCTGATTCATTGATTCAACTATATGGTTTCATGGATTCAATTTTGGGTTTGAAGGATTTTATTTGGGGGATTTGGGATTCTGTGTGGCTGGGATATGAGATTCGATTTGGGTGATCCAGGGATTTTGTAGACCTATAATATTATTTAGCAGGCTGCAGGTATGTGATACCAGTTTGTTGAATGTCGATATTGTTTGGGGGATTTGGGTTTTGCTCGTTAATTTGGTAGTTTGTTTACCTGAGATATTGTTTAGCAGGCTTGTGATACCAATTTGTTGAATGTCAATATTGTTTGGGGATCCTGGGTTTTGCTCATTAATTTGGTAGTATGTTGACCTACGGTATTATTTAGCTGGCCTGTGATATCGATTGGTTTAATATGGATATTATTTGGGGGTTGATTGATTATATATTAGTTGTGTGATGCATGGATATTTGTCTGCTCAGTCTGGATATTATTAAGCCATGTAGCATGTATAAATATTAGTTCACTGATATTCGTTCTGTGAGGAAGGGATATTGGTTAAATGATGTCTGGTCACTTTGAATTTTAATTCGCTGATATGAGCTCTTTTATGTCTAGATATTAGCTCTACTCTGTTTGGAGCCGATGTATGGATACTTCCCTAAGCTGACTGTTTCCGAATATTGTATTTCAACGAGAAAGAACAATGCCAAGAATTGAAACGTTTGTGAAGAGACCACGACTCAGATAAGGACAATCACAACCTCGTCTTGAAGAACAACAACACGTTGAGGAAAATATGGGGCAAGAAGCTGAGGAAGAAGTTGTTGAAGGAGGACCTCCATCATACTTCAAAATTCGGTGCCACACCTCATCTTTGCAAACTATCATAGCCTAATGGAAGAAAGATAGACATTAGCTTGCTAATGGATGTTAGTTTGTTTAAGGATGGATAATATTTTGGTTCACGATGGATACTACTTATCAACAGACGAATATTCGATCATACCGAAAACATATCCACACATCTCATACTAATACTCTACCAAATGAAACTAATATCCATTCATACCAAAAGAAATATTTCCACTTGCACAAACTAATATCCACCGAACACAGACTAATATCATACCATAGAAGACTAATATCTATCTACACACACAAATATCCACACATCACAGATCAACATCCTCTCGTACATAATAGTAACATATCACAACAAACATATATCATACCGCCCTACCTTGAGTTAATAGTCGTAAACAATAAACTCAAGCACTAAAACCTAGACCCTAAACACTAAACCGTGAACGTTGAACCTTAAACCTTAAACCATAAATCATAAATTGGCATAATTAGTTACACAAAATAAATATCCAAACCACCCAAACTAATATCCATTCATTCCAAAAACAAATATCCATACCATCCAGAAAAATATCTCACAGTCTTAGAGTTATATTGGGTCATGTCAACTAATATCCACACCAACACAGACTAATATCCATATCACACAGACTAATATGATTGGCTAAGTTGGTGATACTTGAAACCAATGTGATGGTAGATGGTAGTCTGTGATGTCTGGATATGTGAAGTCTCGATACTATCTTTGTCACCTGCTTCCTTGTTACATTGTGGTAACACAAAATACTAGTTTTTTCAAAAAAGATACAAATTCCATATATTAACATGCATCGACTTCCCCACAACATGGATACAGTTTCATAAAGACAAGGATACACAGACTAATATCCGACTATCACATACTAATATCCGATCATTCCAATACTAATACCTGAAACCTGAAAATAAATATTGGCACAACACAGACTAATATCTAACTGTTACAAACTAATATCCAATCACCCAAAAATTAATGTCCATACCACACAGAATAATATCCAACCACCCTACAAGTGATGCCAGATGCTTAAATAAACCTAAAGGGTTCATTGCCATACATTTGCAAACTAGTTTTGCATATTTGAAAGCCACTAATAGCAGTTCATTTCAACAATGATACAAATTCAGTAGATAAAAATCCACACAACATAAATAACCAAACCATCCAGACTAATATCCAACCGTCACAGACTAATATTCGTTCACCATAATAAATATTCACATCACCTAGACTAATCTCTCATTGTCTCAGACTAATATCCGTTCATTCCAAAATTAATATCTCACCGTCATAGACTAATATCCACAACACACAGACTAATATCTGACCGTCGCAGACTAACATCCGACTACACAACTAAATATCCAACATCACAAACTAGTATCCACCCATCACATAATAATATCCTATCACCACGGACAAAATATTGAATCACCCTACATTGTGTTCTAAACGCTAATCCTAACATAAACACTAAACCAAAACTCGAGCCCTAAACCTGAAACCCTAACCCTAAACTCTAAATCGTAAACCCGAATCTGAAACACTAAACCCTAAAACATAAATCCTAAACTGTAACCCTGAAACCCTAACCCTAAACTCTAAATCGTAAACTCGAATCCTAAATCCTAAAACCTAAACACTAAAACCTAAACCCTAATCTCTAAATTGGTGTAATCAGTTTCGAGTAGTTGAGTTATTTTGCGGTTTGACAAACATTATTTTAATGATGGATACTAGTTTGGTCAAGGATGGATAATAATACATACTTCACAAACTAATATCCGAACACACCAAAACAAATATGGAGACGGTTGAGAGAGATAAAAAGTGGTTGGGCATTTAATTCCCACCACTTCTCCTTTTTCTTTCCCTAATTTCAAAATTTGGCGGGCCCGCAACAACTCAATTAGCTCCTTCCCTTGGCTCAGCTTGGACGAATAAGGCTCACACAGCTCACTTAAGTGAGCTCGTCTCCCTCGTCCATTGGATAACGGCTGGGCCTCCTCGGATTGCATTTGGGCCGTGTAAGTATCTCATAACAAAAAATCCTGTTAGGAGTTTAACTTTTTCGGGCATGAACTTGGGATGAGACATTTTCTCAACGATGAGAGTGTTCTTTTATAATAGAGTAAGGATATTTTACACTCTCATAACTTGGCTAATCTGATAATAATTGAATCTATTCGTGTGTTTTTTTCTTTTGCATTTGTATATTTT